TAAGCCCAAGAGCTGGAGGTTGCTGTGAGCTGTGATGCCACAGCACTCTACCAAGGGTGACAAAGTGAGACTCTGTCTCTAAAAAATAAAAAAGAGTTTAGAGGATCATTCTATGCTCATCAAAGGTCCTAATTTCTTTCCTCATGGCTGTGTTGAAATTTGAATGCTTTTAGACCAGCCACCACTATGACACAGTGTTTTACACCCAACCTATCCCATGCTTGAATGCTACCTCCATTGCCTTTGCCTAGAAGGGGTAATTCTGGGTCACTTATAGTTCTGATGTCCTGTCCTTCTCCAAGTCTGATTTTTGTCTTCCTCCCTGATACTTAAAAATCATGCTCTTCACCCAGTCTTTGGTGACTTTATAGACCCCAGGGAGTAGAGATATAGTTATTTTGTGGGATAGGTGAGTCCCTAGCTATCTCTAGCCTCAGTTTCAGCTTACTTTCTGTCTCTGTTTCCCTTTCTGCTCCAAAGTGGCCATCGTCTCTGAAGATGACTTTCATCACAGTTCAAACTCTACCTACATAACTGCAAGCAGCTCTCTCCAAGCTGAGCAGGAGTCACTGCCTGAAAAACAGCTGGACCGCCTGCCCCCTGGCCTCCAGAGGCCTGAGGACCGCTTCAATGGTACCTACATCATCTTCTTCTGCCTGGGCATGGGCTGTATGCTGCCATGGAACTTCTTTGTCACTGCCAAGGAGTACTGGATGTTCAAACTGAGCAATTCCTCCAACCCAGCTACAGGGGAGGACTCTGAGAACTCAGACATCCTGGTAAGGGCATGTTTCTCCTGTGAGGCAGGTGGAAGCAAGCAGCCTGGGTGGGCTGTACTTGGGTCACCATTCTAGGGAGGTTTGCAGCATGTTGAGAATATGGATGTGGTTTAGGAAGCTTTGTGTTGAGTATGAGATCTCCTGCCTCATGTGGTGGTAAAGGATGGAGACTGATAAAACACAATTCCATGCCTCAGATTGCTTATTATTTAACTTGGAAAGAAAATGCAAATGATGGTTCTATGCAGTGTAGTATGGTAAACCCAAGAATCCACAGTCCATGCCTCCAGGGATTTGAAAGTGTAGACTTAGTAATATTAAGTTCAGCTGTGAATTTAAGAAAATTCTAAAGGAGCAGTAGGTAAAACAAGATGGAAGTTCATTTTTCTCCCTCACTTAAGTCTGGTGGGGCCAGCCCAGGGCTGATATAATGTTCTGTGGTGTCGGTGGGGCCAGCCCAGGGCTGATATAATGTTCTGTGGTGTCGTAGAAGCAGCTTTGTTGCTTTACCACATGAAGCCTTCACATGCAAGGCCACCTCAAGTCCATAGCTGTTGGAGCTCCAACCTTGACATCTACAGGAAGAAGCCAAGGAGGAAAGGCCTATTCCCTATAAGAACACTTCCTGGAGGTAACGCACATAGCTTTGCTTACATTGCATTGGTCAGAACTCAGTCATGTGACCACTTTAGCAGCAAAGGAGGCTGGGAAATGGGGTCTTTCAATGTAGTTTTCTCCCAGAGAGCCATGTGCTTGCTAAAGTGGGAGTTTATGTAGTTATAGCAGACTGGGGAAAATAAATTCTTGGAGATGTGTACTGTGGTCACCAGGGGAGAGATTGCTGTCACTCAAAATGGGTAGATTTGAAGAATGGGGAGGAAACACTCCAAGTAGAAGGAAAAGGCTGTGTAGAGGCAGAATGGGAGGGAAGTTCAGATGTATGTGAGGAACAGTGAAGTGTCTGGTTTTACTGCATGTGAAGTGCAAGTAAGAGAGACATAAGGCTTGAGGTCTTGCCCAGGCCCTGAAGTCATTCCCAGAGCCGTGAATGTCAAGGTGAGGAGCCTGAACTGTGTGTGGTTGACAGGGCTGCTCACTTTACCAGGTGAATTTTCCAGAGGTGGGCATGGTGGAGGAAGAATACTAAAGAAAACATTCCAACACGAACAATAAGGCAAATGTTGTTTAAGAGACATTGTGGTAGGGGAGGGAGATGAAGTTCACCTCTGAAAGGGACAAGTGGGGATTTATGGCCAAGAAGCACAGTGGGCAGTGGTGGGCTGCGGCAGTGGAGGGAATTATTAAGAGGAAACTTCAGGGGTGGGGAGAAGGTGGGGGCTTCCTGCTAAACTGGCCTGACAGGATTCTTGCTGAAAGCAGGCCAGGGACTTTCACTGTTTACTCTCGAACAGCTTGGGTTTAGCCTGTGCGAATCCAGTTACATGCAGTTACATGCGGATTTTTTTCAACCATATGAGTATCAGAATTGGAAGGATGCAAAACGTGTGCATATGGAGAGCCAACTTTTCACAGTTGTGGGTGCTCCAGGGCCAACCACGGCACTTGCATATGCATGGATTTTGGTATATGTAGGGTCCTGGATATACAGTATCCCTGTATACTGAGGGATGACTGTACATCAGAGGTGGGGGGTGAATGTCACCAGATCTCAAGGGTGGGTCTGATTTGGCAGGATTCGTTGCCAAGATTGGGCTGGGCAGGCTGAAGATGGACCCACTGTAGTAGTTTAGAGCGTTGGTACTAAAGTGTGGTGTTTCAGTGACATCCCTAGCATCTGTCAATGCTATAAAGTCTCCGGCTTACCCCAAACTGACTGAATCAGGATCTATGTGTTACCAAGACCATCAGGTGTTGCAGGCACAGTGGAGTTTGAGAAGCAGTGGTCAGCCATGGCTTCTGGGTTCAGATCTGCCAGAGTAGCTCTATGGCCGCTCTGTGCTGCCTCATTTTTCTGGTATGTAAAAGAAGCCTAACACTACCGTCAACTTCTTAGGGTTGCTGTGAGGAGTAAGTAAATTAAGGTGTTAAAAGTACTTAGGGTTAAGGACTAGCACTACCATCCGAGGGGCTTTGTAAACACCATTATTGTAATTATCATTTGAGGGCTGGGTCCTACACTTCTAAGTGTGTGTGGCCCTGTGTATTTCCAGAGGCGCTGGCTTAGCTCAGGTGCTTTATGATTCATTTTTATTTGCCAGTGACTCAAGCGTCCCAGCTTTCTGTCGGCCTCTGTAAATCACATAGCCCATTGGGCTTTCTCCAGAAGATCCCTGCCTGTCTTGGCCTGTGCCAGACGAGATTACATGTGCACCTGTCCACCTCGTCTGTCCACCGCCTAGGCCCTGGCTGCAGGTTGCCGTGGGAGGGAGGGAAGTTCAGGCTGGTCTCCGGAACGGTGAGCAGCTCCCACCGCAAGGCCATCTCTTCCCAGCTGCAGGCGCTTAGCATTCCAGGCCCTGCTATGATGCTTTATTGCCTCTTTCCAAGTGCTGGCAGGTGCGAATGTAGTACCTGCGGCTGCCCGGAGCTCCTGGCTCTTGGCATCAGAGATGAGAGACCTGTCACCCCTCGATTCATGGGCAGGGTTTGGGAAGCAAGCGTGCTGGGGTGTTTCTGCATTTTGCAGGCCATTTTTCTTTTCCTCATTCCTGCCACCCGCCTCCCTGGTTCTTTCCCCCTCTCTTCCTGACTTCCCTTTGAGAGGCCGCTGGTCTGCCTGTCACCTGAGGGCAACTTTGGGGGAAGGAGGGAGAGAGTCAGATGGGTCTGTCTCTAGCCACTACCTGCAACTCAATTAGCTATGGGTCTAGGTGTTTGGTTTTTTTCTATGTTTTCCTTCAATGTTCTCCAGGGGTGGATACCATTCGATGGGGAGTTTGACCCAGTCAGAATGTTTACACAGACAGCTCACTATAAAATTATGTCACTTTCAAGGTCATCAGGCTCATTTCTTTCTGCCTGGATACATTTTGGGGATGGTTTGGAAAATATCTTGCTTGCCGTACCATCTCATCTCTGTTCTTTGGAATAAGAACCTTTAATAAATCTACCACAGGTCTTTTGACCCAGGGCCAAAAAGAGCACACATGAGGAAGAGTTGGTATGAAAAGATGGTGCAGGGGAGCCAGGACACAGCCGCAGTTCCTGAGCCCACCAGGCTGGCAGGAGGTACTGACGTCTGCCTCTCATTAATCCTGTGGGGCAGGTCTTAATAACCCCTTTCTTCAGGCAAAAAAAAAAAAAAAAAAACGTCAGAGGCTCAGAGAGGTTGAGTAACCAAAAATTACACAGCAGGGAAGGGCTACAAAAAATTTCACAGGGCATTGAGGTGGGTAGATGATTACCAGATTCAAAACATACTCAGAGGGTGGCCTGTCGGGGACTGTCCTAGAGACAGGGTCCACCCCACACTCTGATTCTGCAAACACCAGCTTCTTTCCCGTGGAGAGCCTGCCCTTGGTCTGGCCTCCTTTTCAAAACCCCAGGTGCTAACTGGGGGGAACTGCTACTCTTCACACTTTGCCTGCATTATCTCATTGAGCCTCACAGTCTGTAAGGCAGGAACTCTTATCACCTGCCTCCCCCACTAGGGAGTGCAGCTCTCTTACTGTAGATCTCTGTACCCCCAAACAGTAGTTAGCACCTAATAAATACTTCTGCCATTAGTTATCTTATAACAAGGAGGAAAACTCCATGCCCCAGTTCAGGATAGTGATGGCATGGCTCTGCACGAGAACAGAAGATCTGGGGGTCATACTAGCTACCACCAGAGGAGTTCTGCTCTTTCAGGTGGGTCGGCACAGATATCATGTGAGGTTCCTACCATAGGGAAGGAAGCTCGGTTGGCCTGGTTTAGCAGGGAGGTGACCTAGGGCATCCCCTCCCCTGAATTACAACCTCTTGGTCCTGGCCCAATCCCTTCGCTCCCCCCAAAAGCAGGATAGCATGACTTGGGAGCTGTTCTGAAAACTAAGGGCAGGCATCCGAATCCAGAGAGGAAGGTTAAAAAGAATGAGGAAGAAATAGTTTGAAGAGGAATCTAGGGAACAGGTTATCAGAGGTCTTGTCAAAGATCTGCTGTCTTTACCAAATCTCTGTCATGCAATGTGAACCCACCTACCCCTTGACCCACCATCTTCCTTCATCCACAGGATGTCCTGGTGAATTTCCCCAAATGGGGAAACTGAGACTCATGGGTTTTAGACCACTGACCCAAAGTCATTTGAGAGCTGAGATTTCACTAAATCCCAGCAACGTTGGCTGCCTTTATTAAGCTCTGACCATGTGCAGCCACTGTGCTGGGGGCACTAACTTATTCATTAACTCCACAATATTTATTAATCAATTTGCTATGTGCTAGAGGCTTTACTTTCATGATCTCTTTGGGTCCTTCCTGTAACCCAAAGACATAGGTATATTATATCCATTTTACAGAGAAGGAAACTATGGCTGAAAAAGTTTAAGTCAGTTGCTCCCAGGTCCAAAGTAAGTGACTATTGGGACTCAGACCTGGGCCCTCTGAGCCCCTGGTGTCCACACTCTTAACCCCTACACTTTATGTCAGCATTTTCAATGTTTTCACACTTCTTTTGACCACAATGTTTATTTCACTTGGCAAAATATCCGTGTCTATAATGGAAACAAGTTTCATGAAGCACCACCTCCAGTCAAAGAAAGAAAACCCGACCTGATTGCAGTTTTCAAGGAGGAGCAAGTGGCCAAGCAGTGGCAATGCTATTAGGGTGAGATTGGACCCATGTAGAGTAAGAATGGAGAGTTTACTCTTGGGTTTGACCTATATAGGTCCTGAGTGACCTTGGGGAGCAGCACCATGGAGTGGGGAGCAGAAGCTTGACCAGAGGCTGCAAGAGAGGATGGGGGAAGATGGCAAACCTAGAGGACTGTCTCAAGGAGTTTTACTTTAAATGGGAACAGGGCAATGAGGCAGGAGATGCAGGGAACAGTGGTCAAGAAGGGCA